GCCGCCGCTGACGGTGGTGTTTACAGAGCCTGCGAAGCATTGGACCGATGCTGCTCCAATCGGAAACGGCCGCCTCGGGGCGATGATCTGGGGCGGCGTCTGCACGGAAACTCTCCAACTCAACCGTAATAAAGCTCTTTTTTTTCCCTTCTCTTTTCCTAATATTTTGTTCAGTTTATTATTTTCCGGAAACTGTAAGTTTTCTGATAGAAACTGTAAGTTTTCTGATAGAAACTGTTAGTAAGAGAAATTAACCAAGTGTTCTGCACGATCAGGAGCACAAGCAGTGATGAACATAAAAAAAAATCAAACAAAAATGAGTGAAGATCAAAAAGTAAATTTTCAGCTACTTGAAGTAATGTGTCAAACAGACAGAAGCGTATCACTTTGCTAATTTGTATTTCATAATTTTAGTATTAGTTTTTGCTTTTTAACACTTTTGTCAACCGAACGGGTTCCAATGGAGATGATCGAGTAACATGAAAAGTTATCAAAACACTATTTTTCAAACTCAGAGCCTGCGAAATGGAACATCTAGCCACTTCATTTTCTCACTTTCCATCTAGGTACCGTATTTCATCCACTTTCAACATATTGAGTCTGATGGGAGGAAGGGAGGGAGGGAGGGAGTTAAGGCAAATAGAAGTTCTAATTCTTAGAAAATCTCAAACTACAACTTTTTCTTTATATTCAAATTGCGAAGATCAATCTTGTTCTCGAGGTACAATTTTTATTAGTTTATTGTCAACAGTTTCAATATGAATTGCATAATTGGTGTCATAAATACACTCAAGATACAAGTTTTATTAGTTTATTGTCAACAGTTGCAATATGAATTGCATAATTAGTGTCATAAATATGATTAGTGAAGAAAGTTCGGGGCTAACTCTAGTTGGCTACCTCAAAGTGTGTCGAGATTTCTATGTCTAAGATTTCTTTGAGAGTTCCTGGTCCGTTGCATTAATAGCGGACCAAATAGATGTTTATCCTTGGATTTTTGTACCGATGCTGCGATGCAATGGTACGTATCTGTTTGGTGCATCATCAGTGTATTAGGGCCACTAAATATTTTCTTCCTTCTGAGGAAATTGTTGGATGGACAAGGACCACTGAATACTTTCTCCCTTTTAAAGGAGATGGTTGGATCAATAATCTGTTATTGATGATAACTAAATGTCGATCCAGAACTTTGGTGTAGTAGGTTTGCTGGCTAGAAATTTCATGACAAGAAAATATCTGCATGGCCCTTGTGGAGTGCCATTGTGTGCGAGAAACTGGTTACTTGGAACTTACTCCAAAATTTCCTCTGTACTTGAGACTATGGTTATAAACAAGTTCCTCCAAACATGTACATTGAGCTGAAATAGGGTAGTGAGCCTATTTGTTATCATGGTGTGGCTGTGAAAAAGGTGTTGCTTTCCCCTGGGAGATCAAACTAGAGCAAAAGCTCTCGCAGAAACTCCCCACAAGCTTATGCTTATTGCTTGTTCATCCATCCGAAGGCCTTACCTTCTGTGCCATTATGTGATTGGTTGTGGAAAATTTGTAGTAAAAAGAAATGAAGAAAAATTAATTTGTATTCCTTTAATCTCAGTTACAATTGGATTTTCTGATTACAAAAGAGAGGAGAATTGATGCAAATCCTCCTCTTTGTTGAAGTCTGGGTTCTTCACGGTGGTGATGGAGTGCCTCACTTGAATGCTCGTGTCGAATTTGCTCTCCGTTGACGATCCGAACATCTTGTTTCACTGGAATGTGATCTTCTCTTTACGATTTGACGTTGTGGAGAACTTGCGTGACAAGTTTAAAACTCTTGATGAGTTGATAACTCTGAACGAATTTGGAACTCTATGAAAGAGTTGATTTAACCGAAATCGGTTTGTCAGCCAAGGACGAGCTCCTCGTTGCTGAAGTTGAAGAGGACCTCCGTTGGAGAATGATGCCGATCCCTTCAGGCCCTTTTTGCTCCAGAAAATTCCCCCTTTACTGCCAAGTCCCAAATCCAAAAAGCCAGTCCCAACTCAATTGAGTTTTTCACTATTTATAGAGGATTTAGGGGTGTAATCGCTCCCTTAAATCTCTCATTAATGAGGGTTTAATAGGGTGTAACTGTCTCGCATAAATCTCTCCATGATAGGGTAGTGACCCCCTCAAATCGTGGGGAGAAAACGGTTCTGGAACCGTTCAAATCGTGCTTGAACGAGTCAAACGCTGAAAACAGCATTCTGGGCCCAAACTCTGCGTTTTAGACCTGAAACGCAGAGTTGGGCCTGTTTTAGGCTGAAAACGCACAGGTCGCGCTGTGCAGAGATGAACTCTGCGTTTTGGACCTGAGACGCAGAGTTGGGTTCTGCATGAACTGTGCGTTTTTGGACCTGAGATACAGAGTTAGGCTTCGTATGAACTGTGCGTTTCTGGACCTGGGATGCAGAGTTGGGCTCTGCATGAACTGTGCGTTTTTATCGTTGGACGCAGAGTTGGGCTCTGCATGAACTCTGCGTTTTTTTATCGTTGGACGCAGAGTTAGGCTCTGCATTTTAAGTCCACGAACTCTGTGTTTTTGATTCTGTAATGCAGAGGCGAGCCTTAGGCGGGCTTGGCGAGTTTCAGGCTAAGTCCAATGTTCAAGCGAAGTCCAGTCTTACAGATGGACTTCAGAACATAACATTCTGTGAAGAACATGTCATAACTTTCAAACCGTAAGTCGGAATTGGACGAATTATATATAAAAATCGGCTATCTTGACGAGACGGAGCCGACCAAACCAACCTCATAGGGATCGGTTTGCTCCGTCAGTTTTGCCAAATTCCTTACGGTTTGAGAGATATCTGCGTTTTGGTTTGAAGAGACCGTCGATTTGTAGTATCTTTTGCTAGAGCGTTGCAAAGATCGTCATCTTGTAACCTTCGTCTTGGCTCCTTGAAAATGTGATAGTCGTCAGATTATAACTCCCGATGTTGATTGTGAAGGCTGTTGATTAGAGCTTTCATTAGTTGTTGCGAAGGTCGTCAGATTGTAATCTTCATCGATCCACGTGAAAGCCTTCAAATTATAGTCTTCTGAAAGCCGTCAAATTGTAACATCCATCATCGGTGTTTGATGGGAATCAGCTATCTGCAGTGATTTTTAGACAGCCTACAGTGATAATGATTTACAACTACTGAACTGAGTCAAAAGGCTGGTAAATGTTTTAGAAAAGCCTTCGTAACCATTATTCCTGTATTGCACTATTGAATTTCGCCTTAGCCTCCTGACTGTGGCTGACTCTTTCGAGTTTATTATACATAGAGGTCTCCAAGGCTTCCCATGACCTATCTAGAACCAGCCCCTATCAATTTGGGCAAGTTGGGTAGATAATACATAAGGAATAGACTGGAGAGGGTTAAGAATATGAGGTCAACAAGCAGAAAGCTCTCCTGGTTGCAGGAAGAGAAGAACAACTTCAGGGTACCAATCTGCAATCCACCTGCTTGCAATGGCTGTATTAATAATGGAGAATAAAAAGGGGTTAATGAAGAGCTCCAAAGGAAAGTTTTACCTTGTAGTTATGAGCACAAACCATCAGCATTTATTATTTTTACTTATTTTTTCTATTATTATCACTAAAAATGCTTATTAACCATATTTGAAGTAATACCGTTTAATGTAAATTATTTACTTTTTTTTAACTACCAATTTCCTTATTCACCACATGATTCGTCTTATAGTTCTTTTTTCTCCATTTCTTCAGTTCATATTTTTCTGCACTCTTTTTTTTTTCCTAAATGTTAATAAATCTGATATTATGTTGCCTTCCCATGTAGATGATACTCTCTGGACTGGCATGCCTGGTGACTATACAAATCGGCAAAGTCCAGTTGTCGTTTCTAATGTGAGAAAACTTGTTGATAATGGACAATTTGTGGAAGCCTCTCTAGCAGCAAATGGTTTGTTAGGTCATCTATCAGAAGTATGCATATTTTTTGCTCCTTAGTTGCTATTCTAATTCTTTGCTGTTATTGATATTACATTTCAAGGCTTTGTTAAGGAGTGAAGTGCTATAACTATTTGTTCAACTGTCCTGTGAAACATTACTCTCATGATTTATTTTGCATTTGGGGTAGTTTCTTATATTAAAGAAATAAAGAAGAACATGCACCTGAGAAACAAGAGAACTTCATTTATTAGGAATTGTTAGATATTATTGGTATTTAGATCCAGTAGATATTATGAAATATTGTTGAGATTTTGTGAGATGTGATTAGATATGATTTTATCTCCTACCTATTTTGTAATAACCTCCCAATCTCTTTCTAAGAGTGACTAGGATTAGATGAATAATAATCTTTGCCTTCTCTATTTCTCTACAGGAATATTCCTTGGAATGATTTCTATAGATTTCTTCAGGATTTAATGTTGCTTCTGGTTCTTATCTTAAGCGATGATGCATGCTTTTTAATAGACAGTCCATCATCCCACTAATCTTATGTAATTTTCTTTTCAGTTTCCCATATTATTGTCTATAATTTTAATTCTTTTGATTTGTCATTTCTACTCAAGTAATTTGAAAATTGTCTGAGACCTTGTTCTTCTCTCCCCATTACATCTGCCTGTGAAACCATTTTATACAGCAATTTCCACTACTGTAAGCTGAAATGGACACCTACATCTTTCCTGCACTGCATTGAGCTTTGCAATTGCCATGGCACAGCGAGATGGACTTCATGTGTTGGTCCTGAGTCCTCAACGCTATGCTTGATTAACTGCAGCAGGAAAAAAATCTGAATCTTTGATTTCATCTGATAAAATGGCGTCATAAAACCTAATTTATTTTAAATCAAAAACCAAAATGTTCATCTAATTTAAAGCTCCCAGGTGGGGTTTTTGCATTGTGGCCTGCAAACAAATATGCAGATTCAATTGAGTAACTTTTCTTTACTTGAGCACAGACAATAATAAATGTGAAAGGATGCTCAAGCTAGTTAATTAAGATAATTTATCTTACAGCGGTCCTTGCAACTTTTAGTTACATTACCTATATTCAAGAGAGAAATCTTGAATTACTTGCTTGATGGTCTTTTTAATGTTTCACATAGACCTGCTTTTACTTACATTCATATTTTAACAAAAAAATCGTTATCAGAACAGTTTACATGTTGTGTCAAGGAGCAAATCTCATGTTACGCACATGTACACAATTTCTCAGTTTCTTCACTAAATAATAGAAACCATCTTTGTTTAAGTAATTTCGTTTTGTCACATTCTTTTCTTTGTTAATTAGCTTCCTGAAATGTGTAATTTTTATGTTGATTTGTATTAAAAAAAGGGAAAAGAATCCCATGACCCTCCTTTTGTACCACTACTTAGTGGACATCTTTCTTTCAGGATCTAAAACATGAATTATTTGAAACAGTTATGTAATTGATCGATATGGATGAAACTGACAATCTTTCCATAGATTAGTGTGCAATATGCTTTCTGGTATATCATTTTATGATCAGCACTACTCCTTACAATCTATGCTATTACTTGACGATTATGCAGTAACATGTGTGATTACTTGGTATCACTGTGCACTGATTAGTTAAGGGTACATATAACAATCACATATATAAACACATCCACACACATAAACACATGCACATACATAGGTACATACCAATACACATGCATATTAGTTAGGAATGTATTCTGAATTTTTTAGGTTGGCCTTGTTTCGTCTAACATTTTCTCTTTAACTGAAGGTTTACCAACCACTTGGAAATATCAACATAGATTTTGATGATTGCCCTGTTGGATATTCTGCTTATGGAAGAGAACTTAATTTAACAACTGCAACCGTTAAGGTGTCATATACTGTTGGTGATGTGGAGTTCACAAGAGAACATTTCTGTTCATATCCGCATCAAGTGCTTGTAACCAATATTTCTTCAAATAAATCAGGCAGCCTCTCATTTACAGTATCTTTGGACAGTGAGTTGCCATACCATTCAAGTGTGAATGCTGCAAACCAAATTATCATGGAAGGTAGTTGTCCTGCTAAAAGGATCCTACAAAAAGGCAATACATCTGTAGATCTGGAGGGAATTCAGTTCTCTGCAGTTATTGATTTGCAGATAGGCGGCGAAGCTGGTACGATACGTGTTGTAGATGATAATAAGTTGAAAGTTGAAGGCTCAGACTGGGCTGTTTTACTTCTAGCAGCTTCTTCCTCATTCGAAGGGCCATTCACAAAACCCTCAGATTCTAAGAAGGATCCTACTTTGGCATCAGTGGACACATTGAATGCTATTAGGAACATGTCTTTCTCCAAGTTACTTGCATATCATTTGGATGATTATCAGAATCTTTTTAATCGTGTTTCTTTGCAACTGTCCAAGGGATCCAATGCGACAACTGAAGATAGTAGGCCTATCAATCAGATTCAGGCCAGAACTCAGAAAAGTCTCATTGCAAGTTCTTGTGGAAGACCAAAATTATCAGCACCTGCCATAACAACTAAATCGACAAAAAATGCTATGGTATCTACTGCAGAAAGAGTGAAATCTTTCAATGTTAACGAGGACCCATCTTTGGTAGAACTTCTATTCCAATATGGCCGATATTTGCTCATCTCTTGCTCAAGGCCTGGAACTCAGGTGGCAAACTTGCAGGGAATATGGAACAAGGAAACTGAACCAGCATGGGAGTATGCTCTTTCCTCCCAACACTGTTTATTTTTCATCTTTGATGTGTTATTTATTTGTTTTGGAGGATTCTTTTTTTTCTCTCTTCTATTTGATGCTCCCTTTTTATGTCATAAAGTTTCATTTATCTGAGTTATATTTATGAATCTTGACATGGACACAATTACTTTGAATTGGTTATTTTCTTACATATATTGAGTTTCCTTATTTGAATGTCTGTTTGGATTTTGAAAGAGACAAAATCCTAGGGATGTTGTATGGCCTAAAGATTAGTGTCCTCTTAGGTTAGAGTTGGTTGTAAACAAGAAAGAGGATTCATTCAGTGCTATGTTTTGGGTTAAAGACTGTTGTTGTTGCTATAATAATAATGCTGAAAGCTTACTGTGTCGTGATGAATAGTCGTGGCACAAGGATGAAATCATCACTGATGCTAGCAGATCTCGCAGAGATGTTTAACTGTGCTTTGAGATGCATGAAAGGAATGAAAGGTTGATGGAAGATCGCAGCAGTCAGCAAAGGTTAATGCCGGGAAGCTACGAACATCACAGATAAGTGTTGCGAGACAGAAGATCATCACTGACTGGAGGAATAACCATGGTGGTAGGGAACAGCAGATATCAGGCTTATTGAGGCGCGCGCCTCGGGCGCGCCCCAGGCGCGGGGCGCTTTGGCCTGGGGGAAATGCGCCCCGCACGCGAGGCGGGGCGCTGCACGCAGCGAGGCGTGCGCCTCGCGTGCGCCTCACTTGCGCCTCGCGTGCGCCTCGCGCGCGCCTCACGTGCGCCTCACACCTGCGTTATGTAACATACTCTTTCTTCTATTTTTTTTAAATAATTTACATAATTACATATTTATATCATGTAATATACTCTTTCTTACTAGTTGCTAATCTATTTTCATCTTTTCATGTTTAACCTATAAAAAGAAAACAATAATTAGTAATTTAGTATACTTGTTTGCTAATTGTAACTTCATTCTCTAATTAGCATGCTAACTAGCAAATTATAAACATGTAAATATGTAATTGTTACATTCATTCTTCATCTTTTCATGCTAAGTAGCAAATATCAATTAAGAATACTAACTAGAAAATTATGAACAGTCATGTTTGTTAATTATATTTCTTAGTCTTTTATGTGACAATTTATAAACATATGCTCATAATTGTTAATCACTTAATTTGATGATTTAAATACATGTTTCTTGTATCTTTTTTATTACTTTAAAAATTCAGTTAGCATAATTTGATGATTTAAGTTGATATTCTCATAATTTTGGATGTAGGTAACTAATATGTTGCTTATATGTTTCTGTCTTATGATGTTGGCAAATATTAGTTTGAGTTATGCGCCTCAATTAGTGAGGCGCGCGCCTCGTTGTGCGCTTTGCGCATGGTGCGCGTAAGGGACCTTTGCGCCCCGCATTGCGCTTTGCGCCTCGATAACACTGGCAGATATACTAAGTAAGTTGTGCAAGGTGATGAAATGGAGATGCTAGTATGCTGCTTTATCAAACCTTCAGAAATCGATGCACATATTAAGGATTGATAGTGAGATTGACATGTTTCAAGAGTATGAAAAATTTTTGCTTGGTGCATTCTGGCAATAATAGAGTTAAGGGTCAAGCATAGAGTGGTATGGTTGTAAGACAATCATTTATGGACATCCATTTATCTTTTGATTAAGACAATGATAAATGTTGCAATGTTTGTTCTGAAATTAGATATAAAATGAAGATTATATATGTTTTCTCTAAAGGTTCTTCCAAAAGTTGGCACTAAAGAATGGATAATACAATTTGAGCAGGAAAATTTTTGGTGAAGATGAAGGTGAAACACAGTTAATTTTCTAGGTTATGTATGTTTTGGGCTCGAGGTCAAAGGTTGCTTTTGTGGTTTGCATATCGGTTTGTTATAAGTATGCAGGTGTTCAGAGCATAAGCTAATGGTGGGATCTAAGGAGAGGACAACTGTGGCGACCTGAAACGGTTCGTCTTCAGGAGTGAGACATGTAGGTTGATCTCAAAGAAGGCTAGTAACAATATAAGGAAAGATGTAAATTCTCAACTATATGTTTTGGATTTCTCAGGCTTTTCGTGCAGAAGACAGTCAGATTGTAAACTGGTCCGAGAAACAATAACTAGTTGCTGTCTCGAGAAGAAATCATTGCTCTGGTTCAGGATGTCAATAGGAGCATGGTGGCTGTTAAATCAACTGGTGAAGAGTTGAATTGGGCAGAATGATTTTAGTAGTACTTAGTAGGATGAGTTAAAATTTTTTTTTTGGTCAATGAAGCAAAATTTATTCATTCAACCATTTGGAAGTATATGTACAGCAAAAACTCACATTTTGAGTTATCTACAAAAACAATACAAGGAATAAACTTTTGTGCATGAATATCAGTCCAGGGAATGATAGCCGAAACCTGTAAACCCTATTACACTGATAACAACCATTCTCTGTCTTCAGCAGCTACTTCACTGTTTAGAATTATGGTCATCAAATCTACTTTGATCATTTTGATAAGAAGCTCAACTCCCCTGCTTTTCTGATTAAAGATCCTGTTATTGCGTTCAATCCAAATATTGTAATTGTATATTGAGGAGGTAAGAGCCATTCTTTTTTACTTTATGCTTGAATCCTTTACTTCGCAAATTGGGATTGAACCAGTTCAATAGTTGATTCCAATCACAGCTTCTCCATCTGAAACTGAGCCAATCCATAATTCCATTCCATACATCTTTGGAGAAATTGCATTCAAAAAACAGGTGACATCTACTTTCAGGCTTAGATCCTGAACATAAACATCACTGGTTAGCTTGGATAATACCTATCCGTAGCAGTTTATCCTGGGTTAGGAGCCTATCTTGGACAGCTAACCATGAGATAAACGAATGCTTAGGGCAATTAAATCCCCCCATATAGTGATACACCATGGAACTTTATTTGCAGCAGGGGAAAGAGCATGATACAAGTATGAAAGTTTGATTTTTGAGTAGCTATAACAGGACCTGATTAAATCTTTTAGATTATCCAAACCACCATAGCAAGTTATAGCCTTATCTCTGGCTTTTAATAGCTGTTTCCATGCCCAGGAATCATTAACTTTCATTTTCACCTGCCATATATTCCTGCATTTTAGATAAGTGCTATGAATCCATTTAATCCATTGGAGCTCTTTGTTTGTGTGTATATCCCATATGGTCTTTATTGCTGCTGCCATATTCCAGATAGTAGAAGAAAAAAATCTCCAGCCCTCCATACAATTTACTTGTACAAACTATGTCCCATGAAACCAGTGAAGCCTTGGATGCATGATCATGTTTCCCCCAAAGAAACTTTCTGCAAAGCTCAACTTTGTGAAGTACTTTAACTGGTAGAACATAGCTAGAGGTCCAATAGATTTGAATACCAAATATCACACTCTTTATCACCTGTAATCTACCAGCATATGATAGATTTTTAATTTTCATACAACTTTGGAATTGGCTTGAGATTTTATTGAGAAGAGGATTGCAACCAATGTAGTTTAGTAGTACTTAGTAGGATGAGTTAACTGTTCGACGATGAGCTATAGATATGCATCCACTAGCTTTCCTTAGGTTTTGGATTATAAAGACATCTCATAAGGTTTAAAGAGAATGACCTGGTTATTGCTTAGATTGTTCTCTTGTTTTATTTTGTTTTACATGAAGAGAGTTTAGGGTTTGGTGTATATATTGATGAATGGGTTTTGCGTAAAGAGAAATTAGGGTTTGCTCTACTGATTGACAAAGGGGATAGGCTTTTTCAACATAAAGTTTTTGTGTCATGGCCTGGAGCAACCATACTAGAACCTGTGTTTTTTTGTACTTTAATTATTAATATTGTACTTTGGCTGTCTCTGAGAAAATAAGTATTTGCTGAGAAAATAAGTATTTGCTGAACCAAGTTAAATCCAGTGTATTTTTAATCTTCTCATGCACCTGACAATGTTGGGCCTTAATTGAGGAAATCCCTAGAAATATATAAATTGCATACAAGTTCTTGTTATTATTTACAGTATGTCCCCTATAAATTCTAAAATTGCATCCCAATCTATCTTAAAAAAAACACGAAACAAGTTGGTAGCAAATTAAATTAGCCTATTTAAAGTGTACCGAGTGCATTCCTATTAGGTACTATCGTTTTATAATATTGTATTTTTATTTTTAGGTAAATAGGTACTCCCCAAGAAAATTTTTCTAGATTTGTCACTGGGTAAATCTATGCCAGATCACGAACAGCAGAAAATGTGAGTATTTGGAACATATTTTTAATTGGTTTACACTAAACAATACAATGATTTTTTATTTTTTGTTTTTTTCATTTTGGTGCGGTTGGGGGGGGGGGGGGGGGGCTTTCCGCTCAAACTAACTTTTGAGCTAGCTTTTCTCATATCTAAAGTGTTTGGTGAATCCCAATAAACTAACTAGCTAATAGTTCCCATTTTAAAAAGTTGGGATTTCCAAACTTGTGAAAAACTAGCCGATAAGCTCAGCTATGTTTGACCAAGCAAATAATTATTCTGCCGCTACAGCTTTAATAAAATTTTATCAGAAAACTATAAAAGTCAGAAGCTTTGAAATGCTAGCATAGGTTATAACCTTCTAAAAATAAGCCCTCTTGAACGCCATGAATATTTCAATATCTAGCTATCTTGATCGTAGAAAAGCATTTCTTTGGGGTCATTAATGTTTATAATGAGCAGCTCTTTGTTTGTGGGTCTACAGTGGATATTCAGTTGCCTTCACAGCTAAGTGCCAGTCTTCCTAGTTTCTTACATTTTTACCAAAGAGAAAATAATCTTTATGGCTTGCCCTTTATATGGAGTTATGGAGCAAGTAGAATCTGCACTACAAGTTTTCAGTTTAAAATCCTTAACTATTTGTAGTTGAGCAAAATGATCCTGATTACATGTAAACCCAGTGTTAAAAAAAAAAAAAGGTTATGCTAATTGGATGCGGATACGTTAAAAATAGTTTTCCTACTTAATGCTTAGTCATGCTATATTTAAAATATTTAAATAAGTGGAGAAGAAAAAGGCTTGCTGATGACGTGCCACCTACAAGCATAATTTTCTGGGGTCCCCCAGATTTGCAGCATTATGCCTGCTGTTTGACTAGGGATACAAGTGGAGATCGTTTCTGTGAATACCTGAACATGGAACACTGGATTAATATAATCAATAACTAGACTTGCATGCCACTTGGGTCTTCTTCATGCCCTGGCACGTCTAGATGAGAAGAAGCATTTAGCATTCTGTTGTTTTCATTTTGTATGTAAACACACTTACCTTTTCCATTTCTTGTGTCTACTCCTTGGTTGGTATCAGAATCCGTATACTACCTGTTTTATTCTTTGTGTTTGTTTGGGTTACGACTATGGATAACCTCTTGTAGAAGACTTATAATTGAGCATTTATGCATGCATCTGTGACACCCTTTTTAATGTTTTACATGGATAATCTTATCATTGATTTCCTTCTTCAGTGCAGCTCCTCACTTGAATATCAACCTGCAAATGAATTATTGGCCATCACTTTCTTGCAATCTTAGTGAATGTCAAGAACCATTATTTGATTACATTGCTTCTCTGTCCGTCAATGGGGCTAGAACAGCAAAAGTAAGTTCAGTTCTACTTGATCGAAGTAGAATATTGATAGTTAAGTCAAGGTCAATTTCTACATTATAGAATAACCTGTATGCGTCAAAATTTTGGATAGTTAACTGCAATTTGAAGTCATACTAAATGTTATAACAACAGTTTGGTATAACATTTGACAGTCATATATCCTCCATAACAGAATGGAATGGAAAAATAGGATTCATGTAGCCAACCCTAAACATTTGGGATAAAGGCTTGGTTGTTGTTGTTGTTGTTGTTGTTGATTTGACAGCCATATATCCAGTGTGCCAATTGTACTTCATGTAAATAGTTATTAGAATTTTTGACTGAAAGGTTATGAAAATGCGACCTCTGAGCTTTAGAAGTTGCCAGTTGGAGGTTATTAGAAGCTATTTTTTGTTTGTCATCAGTCAGTGAGTGTTTCATTAGTCTGTAAATCCAAACCTCCTAAAAAAACCAGTTCTTACCTGATCATGTTTTAGTAGAATCAATGCTTAATTAGTTCTGAAACAAAGTCTGAGTTTGGAACCATTAATTATACCCGGGCACTCAATATGTGACGTGGATAATGAAGTTAACCAGCATCATCTATCAATACATCTCACATTGGACCCATTCTGGATGTGAATATGCTAGGTAGAAGCTGTATTCAAACAATATTTATTCTTGCATTAAAGAAACCTTATGTCATCCATAGGTATCCATGTAGGATTCAAAAGCAATAAGACGAGAATTTCATTAAAAGCTTAGAGTTATATTTGCTTTCATAACCTCAATAATTTGTCAACTAGATAATGTTTTGATGGACCATCCTCTTATACTATTAGGCTTTTGGTGTATCTGATACATGGAGGGAAAAAATACGATTCATAACTCATAAGGTTTACTTTCCTATCATTATAGAAGAATGGACCCAGTTTGTGTTTCTTTGATGACAGTTTTCTCTCAATTAGAAAATCAGTCAGGTCAAATATTTCACTGGTAGCTTCCTAGTGCAATGACCAGAATGAAGGGAGCAAGTAGAAGCAATGATTTTTAATGAGGCTTATATATACATGACGCCATAATAATTCACCTGTAGAGATTAAAAAAAATCCCTTGATGAGCATTATCAGCAGCACACATGCTTGCAGTAACTTAATGTATTGCCTATCTGTTTAATAATGCAATAAGTTCTGTACAAAAGATGTTTGCGTGGACAATCTTGTACTGCATGAGCTTTTAGGTAGATAGTTTTCACTTGAGGTAGTTACAGTTTACAAATCTCAGAATAATAGGGGGTGCATTTCTGGCTAAATGCTGACTTGGATGAACATGTTTGATGGAGGCAAATGGGATTACTTCTGACTCTATTGCCAGATTGTCAGTATATAGAAAATTTTCCTCGTGACAAACGGGATTACTTCTGACTCTATTGCTAGATTGTCAGTATATAGGTTTCATAAATGCTGCATTGGGTACAGGAAAATGTTGGGCTTACAAAATTTTCCTCATGACAATGGAGAATGAAGAATAATAGATAAGAAAAGGAAAGCAGAACTTCCTGTTCGCGAGATTGCTCACGTTCATGATCATGAGACAACTAGAAGTATTCTGCTATCATGCTAAGCTCAAGAGAAACATACCCATCAAGCGCAAGATACATGATATCTCTAACTAACAATTGTTAATGCATTGGTAAGCTAAAAGGGTCTACTTGCTAATATCCAAATTAAATGGTGATATTGTGAAAAGTTGCAATAGTTCTATAGAACACGCGGTCTACCTACAATTCATGCTATAATCATACCATATAATCGTACTTTGTTCATGTTTATTTTCTTTTTATAACTCGAGTTGAGGAGGCAAACTATACTTAGTTTGTGTTCTATTGTTTAACCAGTGACAATAATCACGAATGCTATTTTGTTAATATATGTAAGAGTGCGTCTTCCGCATATCCTGAACAACTGACTGGATTTCTGACCATGCATTGTGTAAGTTAGCTATCATGTTGCATTGTACAAAATGTGGCAAATGATGAAAATTACTGTGTAACAGTATGTACACAAAACCTGAATAATTTCTTACTATCAAGACTATTATTTTTATAGGTCAATTATGAAGCAAATGGTTGGGTGACTCACCACATCTCAGATATATGGGCGAAAACATCACCTGATCGTGGTAAGCCCAAGTATGCCGTGTGGCCAATAGGTGGGGCTTGGCTGTGTACTCATTTGTGGGAACATTATTCGTTTACTATGGATAAGGTAAAGATTTAACTAGATAGAGCTCCTATTTTTCTAGATTCTCCTGTATAACGTATGTTGCAACACCTTGCATTATTCTATCATACAAGTCATTTTCAGCTTTTTACTACTAATATAATCTGATTTTTTTTATTGAATGTAGCATAATGCTCTTGGTTATGAGCTTTCTGTCTCGTGGTTATTCATTTGTTGACTTCGTAATTAACTACAATTTTGCAGATTAGAGTCTCTGCCTAAAGCATTATATGGTGTTGCCTGTTTTTACGCAATATACGATGATACCATTAAGGCCGTATTATGGTTAAGAAATACTTTGATTTAAGAAAATTACAGCAATCAGTGGCAGATCCAGGAAAAATTCTTAGAGGGGCAAATGATAAGTATCGATTTACCTAAATGAAAATGGGCTAATAATTTCAAAGGACTGAATAGAAAAGGTCTACTAATTTGTAAATGCTAACTGGAAATTGCTTGAAGATTCAAGTTGGGGTGCAAAAATTCTGAAACAATTGAATTTTTTTGTTTGTCTTTTTTTTTTTGTGGGGGGGGGGGGGGGGGGGG